ATGAGAATCAACACCACTCCCAGGATCAAACAGTCAAGCTAATAAATAGAGATATGGCCTAAAACTGTTTGCACATCATAAATACCCTAGTTTTTGTATAGAAGCAATCACAACTAGTTGGTTGGTCATTTAAAGATTTTTTTTAATAATACTACCTCAATGATGACAGAAAAAAAGTGATAGCAGTTCCTGAGCAGATCCAAATGAAATGAACAAGGAAAACAGGTGTTCCGTTTGATAGTTTTCCCTGCTTAGAGTATAAGATAGCCATTAGCCTTCTTAAAAACAGTTAGTTGAAACGTTCATGTATCTATACTATGCTTTGATACACTAAATAAATTTTAGATACACTAAATATGTTATATAACACAAAATTCCAATACAATTTGTGAGACAAGGGCTAACAATGGCATAAACTGCAGCATTAGAGTACCAAAACCTAACCAAAATTAAAACACACTACATATAAAATTAAGGAAAATAGACACGAACAAATTTCCATTTGAGAACAAGTTGGTAAATAAACAAATATAAACGAAACACATTAAAACACATACATAAACATCAAAGCGAAAGTGTAATCTATTTGAATTTGAATTTTAAAATCATAATTAGTCTTTATAAATTTAATAACATTCAAAATCCAATAGAAAATGATATGAGAAGTCAACAACATCAGAAATTGTAATCATTAGGGCACGAATTTCAGAAGCTAAATCAAACTAAAAAACCTTGAATGCATAAGGAAAGTGTAAAAATCTATAAAGGAAAGTTAAAGAGATACGAAAGCTAGTGATTAACTGGTCAGGTCAGAGATGAATCTGAAAGAACTGGCGAATTAGTGACGAATTAGAGAACCCAAGTCCAAGAAGAATCGGAGAATCGGTGAATCCAAGAAGAACTCGAGTCGAAGTCGTCTGGAGCAGCAGCGGTCATCGGGAGCAGCAGCGGTCATTGGGAGCAGCACCGACATCGTCCTCGTTGAAGTAGTCACGAGCATCTGCGGCGGCGTCTTCGTTGAAGTCGTCAGGAGCCGCGGCGATGGCGTCTTCGTCAAAGTCGTCCGGAGCAGCATCGGCATCGTCTTCATCCTGCCTGTGACGGGTGTAAAATAAGTCTGGAAAGAAGGGGAATCGTGAGCAGATGTAAAATAAGTCTGGAAGCAAGAGAGAAAAGGGGGAGGGGGATCGGAGGCGAAGAAAGTAGAATGTAACGATGGTATAAATGTGTTAGGTTTAGGAAATTTTAAAAACTAAAATTAAATTATAAATTTAGCTCAAAGTGTCACTATCATGTGTTGATGTATTAATGTCATTAGTTACTGATATGTAAGTGTCGTAAATGTATTAGTGACATCATAGTGTCACTGAACAAGTGTCACATAGTGTCACAAGTGTCTTTAGTTTCTGAAACTAGTGAAGACATACGCTGGGAACGAAGAATGCTTGGAGATATTTTTGGAGGATATGTGGAGCAACCATCCACAACAAACTCTATTCCAGAAATCAAAGATGCAACTTACCATAATTTATCACCAAATGTAAATGAAGTATCATATTTGGCGGACCAGTTCCATAATGTTCTACAAGCAACACATCAACCTTTATATGAATGATGTCTAGAAGGCTCTCAATTACAGTTCGTCACTGAGGTAATGAGTATAAAATCAGATTTTAATGTACCTCAGGACGAAGTAAATAGGTGGTTAGAATGATTTGGTCGATACTTACCTCGTGAAAACAGGACCCCACGTAATTACTATGAGACCAAAACACTTGTTTCAAAGTTGAGTCTTCCCGTGATAAATATTGATGCTTGTCCAAATGGGTGTATGTCATTGTGGAAGGGCGATAAAGAGTTAACACATTGTTCTTTTTGCGGTGCGAATCGGTATAAGTTGGAGGAGGAAGAAAAATGTAAAACAAAAAAAGGTGAAATTGATACCAATAATCTCCACTTTTACACATTTTACAAAAATAATCCCTACTTGAAAAGTTCACAGCAATAATTCCTACTATTTAACTGTTTCACAAAAATAAACCGAGTGCATACGGTGTTAAGTTTTCCGTTATTTTTTTATTTTAAATATATTGATTCGAAAATATATATTAACATTGACACTACTATATTTTAGTTTAATCTTTTTTCTACTAAAAAAATTAATATTCAATATTTCCATAAAACATAATAGAAATGTTTTTCATAAAACATAATACTCTTCAAATTCTCTACTCTTTCATTCCCTATCCATATTTTATTAAGATTCATTTTTGGTATTCGTTATAATAGAGATTCCGAAGTAGTTTTAGTAATAATACATTAAATATTAATACAATTATGTAGAATATTGATATTAACTCTAATATATTAGTTTATCATAGGAAAAGATTAAACTCTAATATAATATTATTAATTTTTATACATATTTTTGGTTTGATATATTCAAAACTTAAAAAAAATAACGGAAAAGTTAACACCGTCAAAATCGGATTATTTTTGTGAAACAAGTAACTAGTAGGGATTATTTTTGTGAAATTTATGAGTAGGGATTATATTTGTAAAATGTGTAAAAGTACGGATTATTAGTGTCAATTTCGCCAAAAAAAAAAATGGACTGCGGTATCCATGTTCAGATATTTGCCCTTAACACCAAGACTGCAATGGTTGTACGCATCACGTCAAACAGCTGAACCAATGAGGTGGCATGCCATACACGAGGCAACCAGGACTATAATGGGTCATCCTAGTGATAGTGAAGCATAGAAACACATTGATAGTACATATCCGGGATTTGCAGTTGAGCCTCGAAATGTTCATCTTGGTTTATGTTCTGATGGTTTTGTCGCCCATGAACAATAAGGTGCATCGTACTCCTGTTGGCCCGTTATTGTTACGACTTACATCTTGCCCCCCGATATGTGCATGAAATATTCTTTCATGTTTTTGTCTCTCATTATTCCTGGACCAATATGCCCAAAAACTTAAAGAAAATTGATATATGGAATTTTTTCATATTTAAATGAAACTAATATTTATGTGACATAATTTTATATCATAATTTGACAAGTATAGTAAATGGAATTAATATGCGAGTATAGTAAATGCACTTCAAATGCAACTGCTATTATAATGTAACTAAAATGAAAATAATGTAAAATGAGAATGTAAGAAATATTAAAATAATGTGATTAATATTTAAATGCAAATAACATTCAAATGTCACAAATTTTATATGATAATGTGAGTATTATTAAATGTGGCTAATATTTTTGCGTAACAAGTTTTAAAATGTAAAACAAAAATATTAAAATCTAACAAATATGGCTAATATGATAATGTAACAAGTATAGTAAATGCAATTAAAATGTGAGTATAGTAAATGCAATTAAATTGCAACTACTATTAAAATTTAACTAAAATGAGAATAATGTAAAATGATAATGTAAATGTTAAAATGTAACTAATAGGATAATATACTTAATATATACGTAGTATAATTTATAATACAAATATATTTTGTATATTGTGTGTACATTATATATATTATATTAATTTATAATTTTGAAAAATAAATGCATAAAATATAAAGTATATACTATACCCAATAAATTAATTTAAGTACAATTAAAGTAACTAATATGTAATATAATGTTAATAGTAAATAATATATAATTATACTACAATAAGATGAGTAGAATACTTATATTTAATACTTTAATATATATATATACTTAATATATAAGTAGAAATAATATATGTAAACATTGGTAGATAATAAGTACTCCGTATACAAGTAGATATAACATATGTAAGTATAAGTACAATAAGTATATAATAAGTATATAATTGGATACAATATATTACATATGTAAATATGTGTAGATAATAAGTACAGAAGTACCCCTCTCTATTTTAATGTTCACTACATGTCTACATTAGGTTGGACACATTATTTAAGAAGTAAAGTAGTAGGGATAGTGAATATTGTAGAAAAAGTATGAGAGAGTGTAAAAGTATGAAAAAGAGGATAAAAAGTAAATAAAGTAAAAGTAGTTGAGTATTTTATAAAGAGTAAACTTACCAAAAATGGAAGTGTATGAAACTTTTAAGTACAACCCAAAAAGGAAGTGTGAGAAACTTTTAAATACGGAGGGAATATATAAGTAGATATAATATACGTAGTAGTATTTTAATATAAGTAGATATAAGTATATAACTAGTATTTTTTTTGGCAAGAAAATTCATGACTATTCTTGTGCCGCAACCTTTTCCCATCTGCTATACCGTCTAATTTCACAAGATCCTTTTCAATGTCTCTCACATTTTCTTTCTATTCCAAGATCTCATGTCCACAATACGAATGCACCCACCAAATCTATTAGCATCAAAGGATAGGTTAGTTTCCCATTTTGAAGTTGAAAGAAGGCATTACAAAGCCAATTAAATTCATACTTCGTATATTGCAGAGAATTGGAGAGTATGAAGATGAAGATGATTAGAGAGTAGTGAGAATTGAAGAATAGGTCTAGAAAAATGTTTAGAATAGTGGTATTTATAGTTGTTTTTTACCCCTCACCAGCCCTCTAACCCCCCCCCCCACCCCACCCCCCACCCCGTTTGGTCATATAGTCATTGCCAACGGCTATATGCCACCCCAACCCCACCCTCTATTTAAAAAAATTAAATAATATGGCCGTTGGGACTGGAACGGGGCCCCGGATCATCTGGTCCGGTCCGGTCCCAAAATTTGCAGCCCCCGCCCGTCCTGCCGGAGAGCCGGTCTGGTTACCGGGCAAGTACCGGGAAACCGGTCCCGAGCCAGTCTCAAACAGTACCTGACTCGGGCTGAGGCGGTCCGCCCGGACCTAGTGCAACACTAGTTCCGTCCTATGTTGGAGGAACCAAACAAGATTTGGACCACTCCGGTCCATAACAATAAAATGCTAAGGGTACAGGCTGAAAAATTGGGCAGTCCTGATCTGATCCAACTCTTGAATCGTGTGTCTATTCCTACCTATAACCCAAAAAATACACATCAAATATGGCTCAAAATGCGAAAGACATTTGTAAGACGCTAGAAGAAAATACATGGCGTGGCGCCAAAGTACTCCCAATAAATTATGTAATATTTGGATATGTTACTCATATATTAGCACCCCAGCATTCTAGAGGGAATATTGACAACTAGTAACAAATACACAAGTGGGAAACAGATAAGATTACAGACAATCCGTAGAAGACCTCTAAGGAGCTAAACAGAAACTAAAGCATCATGAAAGCTCCTTGTGTTCGAGTGCAGCGATTTCTTTCACAACCTGAGCTTTGTCTGCCTCAAACTGCTCATCCTCTACAACATTTAAAACGAAACAAGATATTGAGTGTGGCTAAACGTTCATTCTTGTACATGGCCAGGTATGTTTTACATATATACCTTTCTCAGTCTTGAAATCAGCAAAGAGGCGTAAAAGCTTGCTTCTATTTGCGACAAGGATGTTAACTATAACTGAAGGCTTGTGTTGATTGGCAGCAAATAGCTTCAGGAGTTTGACATGTGCCCATTAGAGACAGTTCCAGGTTTTACCCCCCCCCCCCCCAATCCCAATGTGTTTCTCTTGTCTAAAATCAGTAAGCATACCTTAAAAACATGAAATGCTTCAATCTGAATGCTTTTGCTCGACTCCTACAAAGTTGGGGTTGACAGATATGGAATGTGTGAGACTAGCAATACCAATAGACTAGTTAATCTAGAAAGACATATTCCTTCAAAATTTCCACAAAATATTAAAATATTGAATACAAAGAAGATAAAAGGATTCAATGATGTATCGTTGTAGAAGACGTAACTCCTCAGATCTTATATTCTCATGGGAAGATGATGTATCATAATGCACAACCAAACAAGAGTTCTATAAAAGGATATGATGGGTGGAAGAATAAATGAAAATGGGGCAATAAAAACAAAGGCAAAACATTACCCTGAGAAGATTCATCAGAATCCTCAAGTTATCTCTTGAGCTAACATAACGTGTCATCACAGCAGAATTTGATCGGTCCAGAAGCATATCCCCCAGAAGCTGCAAAAAGTAGACACCTCATAGATAAGTAGATAACTATTAATCCCAAATCTGAAAACCCATAACTATTCTAAGCTTCTATAACATAGAGGAAAAATGGACAGTAAAGATGAAAATTGGCAGAAAAGAGTTATAAAAACTTCAAATGAATGCACAAAATTTACACTTGATAACATGTCTTATTCCTGATTGGTTGAGGCATTGAGCAAAAACAAATATGGGGTTAGATGTTATGACTCAGGTTGAGAGAAAAAGCTAAAGAAAACAAAGGAGAAAATTATAGAGGACATTGAAAATTCATTTTATGTGTTCAAGAATTTCAGCAAACTGTTTCAAATGGGCCAGATTTTTTACTTAAAGAAGTAATGGAAAGCCAGCAGCCTTACTTTTTGGCTCTTTTCTGCAAGATTTTGTCTAAACAACTTTGTATGGTATTGTTTTCAAGTTGATAAACACCAGTGGTAATGCACAACAACAAAAACAACATCTCAGCCTTAGTCCCAAAAGAGCTTGGCATCGGACATGAATCGGCATATGAAATCGGAGTTAACAGTGATAAGGCACAATGTTCACAAAAACTATGAAAATTTAACTATGACCAAATGCCGACTATTCATACTATTATACACTGGAAATGTTTAATTTGACCAGGAACAGCACAGAGATGTAAAGAATATATATTATAAGTAACTCAATGGACATGATTTGGTAATATTTTTGGTTTGTAAATGCATGGGAAATGCTAGCTAGAACAACTCTTTTTGTACTATGTAGCTCTGTAGGTTGGATGAAAGGAAGCATTTCTCATGGGGAAATAAAGAGCTTATCTTGAGCTTTTAATGGCTGCACCAACATGTGAGAGGCTTGCACCATCTTGGTGCTTTGGATAAATTTTACAACTAAGCAAAGGGAACATTCCCAAGAGAGTAGGCAAAGTATGAAGATTATTGCTTACCTTAATAGCTTGCCTTCTAGTGATGTAATTGGGAGACTCAAGCAGCTGTGAGTTATAGTCAGCAAAAAACTAGAACCGAGGACATGCATGGAACACGGAAACCAGTATCAATCAGTTATTATATGAATATGAATATGGTGGCAATTTCGTTTAATTAAGAAAGAAGCAGGTATAATGACACCCCTCTGGGTACTACATTCTAGAGTACAATAGTTACATTTTTTTAACTCCAGGGGGCGTCTGGTGGAGGGGGGATGGGGGAGCCTGGAGTAATCTAGACTGAAACTCACTCCATTGAGTTTCGAACCCGAGACCTCCCGTAAGGGAGAGTGAGTCGGCTGCTGGACCGCTTCCTCACAATAGTTACATATATAGAGGAAAAATCACTCACCCAGTCATAATTCTTAGAAAGAAAATCAGCTACAGTTGATTTATGTCTTGTCAAGAGTTCCTGTTTTGAAGATTTTAGTCAGTTATAAAGACACACTGCAGAAAGTAGAGGCATCAATAGTCTTGGCAGAAACCAGCCACGACAGACTGAAATAAACCAACCATTTAAGCATTGAACCAGAGCACACACAAACAATAGCTATCTATCAAAGTATCAAACTGAATCTGTTCTTATTTACTGCTGCTTAGTAATTTCATCGACATCATTTTTTCAGATTGTCATCAGTCCAAATGACAGCGACCAACACCAGTGCACATTCACTTATGAGCACAGTCCACACATAGACACACACATATAGAGAGTGAGGTGGGCGAGGGCAGAGCATCAAATTCCATATGATATTTTCCCAATGCTATAAATTACATGACTTTAGTCAAAAGTACTGAACCTTAAAAGTTGCAGCAGCATCAGCAGCAAGGTCAAAATTTGGTAGTTGTATGTAGGTGAAAAACCTCTTCATATGTTGTGAATTCAGGACATACCTGAAAACCAGAGAGAAATTTTGAGAAGTTGAAAGTATTGTATGTTCCGTAACAACACTAGAACAAGAAAATGAAAACTGAGATGCATAAAATATGACACCCTAGTTGCTTACCTAGCAACACTTTGGTGTCGAATGCATTCCCTCAGCATAGCACCATAATGCAATGCAATATCTGGTTTCTCGTAACTGATAACACAAGAATTTCATTCTTGTTTCCATTAGACAACCAAAAGAAGTATGCAACAGGAAAGGTCAACAAACATAAATTTCTGAATATCAAATGCGGGGTGCTAAATACGAGTGGCAAAAACACTTTAAATTCATCGTCTTACAAGTGCATAATTTTTCTCATAATACAAACTAAAATTCATAGGGTCCTTGGTGTTTAAACAAGGAGCACTGGCGTGCTTGAGGTAAAACCTAACAGTCATGGATAAACTTTAACATATTTTAAACTGCAAGCACTAAAAGTTGAATATGCCTCATGATCACAGTTATGGGCTTATGTAAGGAAATGTGCAGTAATCCCTCTATCCCATTATCTTTGTCTCATCTTTCCTTTTAGGCCATCCCAACATGTTTATCTCATACCACATTTGGCCATATTTTGTGACTCAATATCATTCTTTCTTTTTCAATTTGAATACAACCCACAATCCCACTTGTCCATAATACTTGTGTCAACCTCCATGTCCCAAACTTAATGGGATGGAGATAGTAATATATGATGGAGGCAGGGAAACAACCTTTTGGTGCATCCCAGGTACTTAATAGATCTAGAGTTTACTCAGGTAAGAAAATTAATCAATATTCTCAAGAAAGTATAAAATGAAAAACAAAAAAGTTGGTCACACATCAGTTGCAGGCTTGTAGAATGACTCATTTTTCTTTCAAATAAAGAAAGCTATATTAGACATTAATCCTCAGATGTGTGCATCATAGAAACATAAAGAAAGATTCAAAAAGCATGGAGAAGTATATCACAGTTTAGACTGGTACAACTTTCCAATAAAGTCTTTCTAAAGTAGCTTACCCTACTATTAGAGTATCCATGAGATCCAAATTGGCTTCCAAGTAATCACTGGCAACCAGCCTTGACTGAACCTGTTGCCTTTGTAGATTTGCAACTACTTGTGTGGCATCTTTACGGGTCTGCAAAAGCACGTGCTTAAATAAGACTAACATACGCTTCGCAAGTTGTTGAAGCAATACGCTTTAAATTACGAAACGGTGGAAAAAACAAAGTAGATATCTGCACCATAACTTCTTTCACAATACCTCTAAATTCAATTTGGGAAGACAATTAATTAGAAGGCGCAATGTGTTTTCCCTAAAGAACTCTTGAGTTAGCTGTGCACAAGCCTCTGCAACAGGCTCAGCTTCACTATTACCATAAAGAATTGACTTCAATTCCCGAATTAGTTTGCTCAACTCGATCATCTGCAAGCCCATCAAAGCATGAACAGGAAGCGGCAAATTTATAAACATGACCAACTAACTTTAACGACAATTCAATTTCAAATGAACGAAAAGCATCCCATCATAAAGAGAACAACATTCTGGTTTAGTTCTCCATTCTTTTCTACTGCGAATATGATTTGTTCCAGGTTACATAGCATAAAAATCACATCTTTAGACGCAGTACTGCAGTACTAATCGATTAAAGAAAAAACCCAGACCTTTTCTTCTCGTTTGCTCTCGCGAGTGTCGGAAGCAGAGCCGCTTTCGGCATGGATGAGGAGATCACGAGTCTGACGAACAACATCAACGGGGGTCCTGGGCTTGGACTTGAACAACCCCTTCATTTTCCTTTATTCCGGCAGGCGTCTCCCTCGGAGAAGGCAATGTTTTCCAGCCTCACCACTTCCTCCGCACCTGCCAGAGCTTTTGGAATTGCAGCTTGGGTCTCACAAAACAAGCAACCAAACGGATTGATGCTTTTCCGAGTGATCTCTCTGTTGATTTAGGTTCTGTTGCTGAAAGGAAGCGGTTGGTGGGCTGTTTAAATGCTCGGTTCAGACATTGGAGTCTCCGTACCACAGCTCACAGCTCATATGAGTCCCACGGTTTTTTTTCTTTACTTGGGCCTTTTATCTTTTCTCGCAGAAGTTTTTACATGACTGCTTTTAGCCGTTGTTCTTGTGACAAACTCTTTGGCGGAGTAATCAGTAGGGTCAAATGTGGTACCTTAGTTATTTGTAATGTTCCAATTTGGTACATTAACTCTTAAATGAATCAAAATGGTACCTTAATTATACATAAATATTTTAATTTGAGATTTTTTTCAAATTTATGATCAAAATATCATTCATATAATTCAAAATTCCATATGTAGAGTCACCCTATGGTGATCATATGGAAAAAACTAAGGTGAACTAGACTTTACACATAGAATTTTGGCCGCCACGCGTGATTTTTGGCCAGAAATTTGAATAAAATCTCTATCTGAAACATTTATGTATAATTAAGGTACCGTTTTGATTCATTTAAAAGTTAAGGTACTAAAATGCAACATTCACAATAGTTAAGGTATCATTTATGCATTTCCCAACAATAATATACTTTCCACACGTAATTTCACTATTAATTCATTGGCCTTACTTTCCCTGTTTAAATTATACAAAAATAAATACTAGTAAGTGTTTTTTTAGAAAGATATATGTGATCTGCGTTATTTCAATAATGTTATTAATAGTTGTGTAAAAAAAAACATCAAATGAAATGAAAACATATAAAGGGAAATGAAATAAAAATACGGAAAGAAAAAGAAAACGACAAAAAAGAGCTATTTTGAAGAGAAATTTTACAAAAAAAAATCTCCTAATAAAGTGAGAAAAAGAATAATAAAATGGAAAGGAAATAAGAACAAAATGATAGAAACAGTAATAAAAAATGTCTCCGGATGACAATAAAGAAAGAAAAATTTTAGGGAGAAAAAAGAAAAAATGAAACATGAGAACGCTTTGAGAAGATTTGTGAAAGATGATCTGGTATAGTAGGTCATCTACATGTCAGGGTCCAACGAAAGAAGATAGGTGCAAAGGTGGGATTATTATTAGAAGACCAGTGAAAGGTGAGATTATTTTTGTCAGTTTTTCCTAATATCAATATCAAATGAGTATACATAATTTACAAAATGAGCATTCAAGGTACATCCGCAGTTTATACGCTGCAACCGGCGCACCATGAGGATGGTGCACCCGGTTGCAAAACGACGCAGTTTATACCCAGTTCCATTATTTTTTATTTCTTTTATTGTTAAAAATTGTAATAACTTTTTTGATATCCGATTTTTATAAATTTTATATCAATTTTTTTTTCATGATCTACCAAATGAGACCAATATTTCTTATGTAACTTTAACAAATTATTTTGAAGTTACATTTGATAATAAATCATGAAGTTACATCTTTTTCTGCGCGAGTTACATCTTATTGTACGCGAGTTACATCTTAATATATGCGAGTTACATCTTAATGTATGTGAGTTACACCATGAAATAAACCCCTGCTACTCATATCAGTAGAGCTAATCAATCATACTTAATTACTTTAAGTACTTAACAAAAAGAAATTAAAATTATTACTACCGCCATCCCAAAAAGATTGGCCAATTTGACTTTTCATATTATATTTGTGTGTAATTTATGATTATACTCTTATGAAAGATTTTTTAATAAAGAATATGCTCATATAATTTTCATGTTTTAAGTAATTTTGTATCTAAAAATATCATTGGTCAAACTTGACCACCATCGACCAAGAAAATTCAAATTGGCAATGTGGGGAGTATAAAAATGTCATAAAATCTAAAAATTGTTTTGCATTGAGTTTATGTATGAATTTCTAAAAAGGTGGCAATAAAAACACTGTATATATAGGTCTAATGTGAATGCAAAAATAGTTGTATTTAAATATATATATATATTGATCGTTAAAAGGGTAGAAAATAATTGAATATATATTTTCGAGTGTGATTTATGAATGTGTGCGTGTAAGTTAATGTTTTTTTTGAAAAAAAAACATTAACTTTTCAGATCTCATTTAAGAATTTCAAATCTTGGATCTTTTTATAGCTCTGGTGATGCATGCAAATGAATCAAAAGTAAAATTTGTGATCTGTTGAAAAATTACCTCTTTGATGCATGTATTAGATTTCAAAATTACCTATTTGATAGTATGATTGATTAGCTCTACTGATATGAGTTTTGTAGTTGTGTGTGAGCATGCTTCGAAGTTCCGAGGAGATAAAGGAAGCGAAGATGGGAAAGAAGCACAAAATGATTTGTGTAGGTAAATAAATGGAGATGAGAAGTGACTAAGAGTCTCTTCTCTTCGCTGACCTCTTTTTCAGCTTATCAAAATTAGGGCATCTTCATCCATGAAATTATTTAGAGATTATGCTTGAAGAGATTGGTGATATTATTTTGAAAGATTATTTAGACAAAAAATTTGGTATCAAATATTGAATTCTGAATTATTCAAAGATTATTCCTAAATTTCAATAAACACATTTAATTGAACGATATCTCCTAATTTCAAATAACTAAAATACCTCCCTGAAAATAACAAAAACTCCATAAAAACTAAATAAATACTCCTTAGAGATCATTATTGAGGGGGAATTAGTAATCTTTGACGTTAATTATGTGTCAATGACATGGCAAAAGAAAAACATACAAACCAGAATATTTGAGAACCATGGATGGGAATGCTCTTATCAACCAAATTTACCCCTAAACATGTAACTTTCGATTCACACATCAAGTTGTGTAATAATCAAAATAAGTAAGATTGAAATTATTTTTTAGCTGGATTGGTTGATGTAGATAAACATTTTAACTATTTGTCATACAACTTTTTCTTTATTTTTTTAATAAAATATATTTTGAATAATTTTTTCATAAAATACCGTTCGGTCGAAGTTGAGGGGCCCTCAGGGATGGGGTGTCATCCTTTTTTTGGGAACTTGAAAGGGAATGTAATTTATAAAATGTTATTTAAATAACACTTAAAAAGTTACAATGTTCCTGAAAGGGAATTTAAGGAGATTGTTAAAATGGAAATTAAGAAATTTGGATATGAAATTTCTTGGATATAATTTGGTGGGGAAACATGTAATTGCAAAACAAAGCATGTTTGATAATATTAATATTGATTGTATGAGTTAAATTTGATGAAATTGGTGAACTTTGACCGCATTAGCCAATTGCTCAAATTTACGAAAATATGAGAAAATTATACTTCAAATATATTAAAAGTGTTCACTTTGTAACTCTTTTTAAAAAAATTCATAAACAATTATTAGTATAACTAATTATTATTTTTATAGCTAAATAAAATAATTAGATGGTTAACAAATGTTGTGAAACAATTATAAATTATGTTGTACAAATCTACAAGTTAGTATTTGAATTAGTTTGGTTATTTGTATATTATGTTGACGAGAATATTACCTGAAATATGACTTAAAGAGTTTGAAAATTACAAAATAGGATTGACATGTTTTTATTCTCAAAATATGACTAATTACTGTCATGTTTTGACAGTACTAGACTCCAAACATGACAGTATTTTCTAAACATGACAATAATTAGTCCTATTTTGAGAATAAAAAACATGACAATCATATTTTAGAATTTTCAAACTGATTTAGTCCTATCTCGGGAACTTTCCCTATGTTTACTTACACTTTTATTCAAATTAATTATATTATTAGGAGCATATTTAAATAACTAAAAAACGTAACAACACAAGTACATTATTGTCCCTGCATCGCACCGGTACAATACTATACTAGTATGTGTGAAATCAAAATGTGGTTTTGATTTAGAAACAAGAGACTATTTGTCTAGGAACAGCAATAACAGCACTACTAGAATAGCATATTTGTAACTAGGGTAATTCTCCGAATGGAAATTTGGAACATGTCAAAATATATTCAAAAGTGCTGGGAAAAACAGGACTATAGGAGGATCAATAGTTGCTAGTAGAGAGAGGACTCAAGAACTTGAAGAAAAACGCGTTCACATCATGGGTATGGTTTGAAGGAGGTGAGATTTCTGAGTGGCAGCCATGGTCTATCCGACACGACAGCCTCATACTTCTCCGCGGCGCTGCCGCTGGCCTTCGCGACGATCACGAGCTTGTAATTCGAACCGGCGACGAATTGATGCTCTGCTTCAATTACTGATTGGAATTCCAGAGTGGTGTTAGACTCTTTGTTGTGGGCGTCTACGGCGAACCGTCCCATCTCCAGCACGATTTGGGAGTCATTGGGGTTCGAAATAGGTGTGAATCCGCCTAACCGCAGTTCTGCGCGGGCGCGCGGGCGCGCGGAGAAGGTGGAGAAGACGGCGGCGATCGCAAATAGGACGAGCATTGAAAGGACGATGCGTGGATATGGCGCCATGTTTTTATATGGTTCTGCAGTGTAGGGGACGGATGACCTTCTGTATGCTCGTTTTGGACAAGGAAAACCAGAGCAAAGTGACGTCCGATTGTCCGAAATTTAACCCTAATCCCAACAAGGCACATTTTGCGCCTCCCGTCTCCATAAATAACTCCACTTTTAGAATCCATTTTATAACACTAAAATTGGTTAAATTGATTTATTTTGTTTAAATTTATGAAGTTCAAGCAAGTGATTTTATTGACTGATTCTGCTGATTCATGAAAAAATTATATTTAAAATATTTGTTATTAATAAATTAAATAAAAAATAATATGAAAAAATAGCTAAAATAATCATCCATAGTAACTTCAGCCAATACAGCCAGAAAAATAATTTCAACCTTACTTTTTCTGTTTATTACAAAATTCAACGCGCGAAATCAAAAGTTACGTGTGTGGTGAAAAAGCTGGCTGATAAGCCGAAAATAGGGGTCACCGGATTCTAATGTATGACTCACTTTTTTTTCTCCATTTGAACTTCAGGCCATTACTCTAAATATTGTGAAACTAACATTTTCTGTATGTTTGACACTGACAGACCATAGTTGGCTTCTACTCGCTACGTCCATTAAAATTTTGTCATCTTTTCTTTTTGGGACGTCCCAAAAAACTTTGTCACTTTCCCTTTTAATCA